CCAGCGGCGGTGCCGCCAGAGAGCAGTGGCAGCCTTGGCACAGAGCCCCCCAAGAGCGTCTCCCGCTGGAACGTCAAACACCACCGGGACATCACTATCAAACCCATCTTCTCCTTAACCAAACGGACGCTGGACCAGCCCAAGCCGACCCCGCCAGCCCCCACCGCCACCATGGGGCCCAGCCAGGAGCCCGTGGGGACGGCCTGCCCGACCCCCCTGGATTATCGGACTAGCGTCCCCAACAAGGCCACCGCCAGGTGCAGCAGCCCCCCCACCTCGGTGCTCCTGTCTCCAGCAGCATCCCCCTGCCGGGAACAGGAGATGCGGACTCCCAGTACCGAGCCCAACCGTGCTGCTGCCAAGAGGTCCCTGCGCTGCTACCGGAGACCCCGGGACTCGCCCAGCCCCTCTCCCAGCAGCTGGCGGGCTGGCCGGAGCCGTGCCAGCCGCTCTTTCAGCTCCAGTTCAGATGGAGCTAGTGAGTCCTCATCTGCATCTTCATCCTCATCCTCCCGATCCCGGTCACGGTCATTCTCCCCACCACCCAAGCGGTGGCGAAGGTAAGTGGTGGAGCTTCTGTCTTCTTGCTTTTTGGGCAATCGCCTGGTGGACGGTCTCTTGTGAGGGTGCCCAGACACCTCTTGATGGACTTACTTGATGTCTGTATTTGACTTTTCTGTCCCTGTGGTCCCCCTGAAGGGATGCCTGGCTCTCAGAGAGTGGTGGAGCTGCCGGAATGCCCTGCCAGGGCAGTGGGTGTCTGGCTGAACCTCCCATCTGGGCAGGTGTGCCTGCAAAGCTGCTGCTGAGCCAGGCTTCCTTACTCCTCCTGGAGCACTGTCAAGTGCAAGGTACAAGTCCTTGGCTGCACCTTGGGGTTTGGATGCTCTTATTGGAGTCTTAATGCAGGTGGTGGTGTTTGTGCTGTGGGGCTGGTACAGCCCTAGGTGTGGAAATGAGAGGAGACACAATAGCAGCACAGAGCTGCTGGAGGCAAGCAGGGAAAAACCTATCTGGCTTGGCTGCCTCAGAGGTTCTTCACGCTTCTTATGGAGGTGGCTGCATAGGAAAGTGGTCTTGGTCTTTGCGGGAAGCATTTTTTGGGAGTCCTTGTGCATCTGAGTGGTGCACTGCCTGTCCCAGCTGGGGTGGGAGACACTGGAGCAGCTGAGAGATCCCTCATCTGTCCTTCCCTGGGTGTTTAGCCAGTTTTGAAGACATCCCAGGTCACCGGGCATGAAGGGCTTGTCCAACCCAAGGGCTGTCTATCGGTGGCCAATAGGTGTGGAGACTGGAGCTGGAAAGGGCATATATATAGTGCTGTGTCCCAGGACTGTGCCCTGTCTGGCTTGGCTTTCCAGCAAATGCAGCTGACCCTGTGCTGGGAAATGTCCCTATGGGCTGTGCCAACCTGACCCATTGTCTTCCAGGAGAATACGTGACAGTACCAGGCAGCGCACCCCGCGTCGGGGCTGGGTTTGCCGATGGCAGGGACCACCTGTGGGCAGCATCTTTGGAGAGGGACCCTGTTGCTGGCTGGAAGCAGCACAGCTTGATCCCAGGGTCGTTTCAGTCCTGCAGCCCTCAAGCTATGCCTGGCTCTGCCAGAGAAGCTCTTGAAGACAGGAGGCTGTGGGCACAGAAGCCCAGCTCTGTCCCAGTGCACGCTGTGTCCCTCGATGTGGTCGGAAGCACATGAGGTCTTTGTTCATGTGGCTGTTGAGTGCAACGTGGATGTGATGGCTCCGGTGTCATCCTGTGCATTGTATGGGGCTCAGCATGGCAGCTCCGGCCCCCCTGGGTCCTTTCCTGGCCACTGCCATGTGCTGCACAGTTTCTCCATGACTGTTTCTTGGTTTTCAGACTGTTTTTTGGCTTTTCCCCATGACTATTTCTTTTCTGATGTGAGCCTGCTCCCTTTTTGCTGCAGTGTTTGGAGCCAAGCAGAGCAACATCTCTGTAGTGTCATTACTGCCCCTGGCAAACTCAGGGAGAGGTTTCCACGACTCAGCTCGCTCTGGGAATGGGTTCTGTCCGAGTGGGGTGCTGGGTACCTTGGAGAGGATGGAGGGTTTTTTCCTTCCCTGGAGCCTCATGGTGCTGGGCATGGGGAGGGCTCGGCACTGAGCTGTGTCTCTCTATCCCCCAGGTACCGCTCAAGATGTTCCCACAGCTCCTCCTCCCGCTCCAGCTGTGGGTCGTGTGGCAGGTCCCGGGACAGGTCCTCATCCTCGTCATCAACGTCCTCCTACTCATCCAGGTCCACATCCTGCAGCCAGTCCCGCTCCCCCTCGCCTCGCAGGAGGAGTAACAGGCGGAGAAGGTGAGCGTGGCCATCCCGCAGGGATGTGAGTTCCTCCAGACCCATCTCCTGACCTCCTGTGTCCTGGGCAGGAGTGAACCCACTCCTTCAGTGTCTCCCTTGTGTCTGGGATCCCTCTGTTCTGGCATCTCCGGTGACGCTGTATCTTGTGTCTGATTTCTGCCCTGCCAGATACAGTTACGACGCACAGGACCACTACCAAAGGCAGAGGATCCTCCAGAAGGAACGTGCAATAGTGAGTGCTGCGGGGCTGGGAATTTAGGGCTCCCCAACCCTTCTGTCACTTTGGAAAGATGTGGGGTCACAGCTTTGCAGGCAGCATTGCTGGGAAGCTCTGGCCAGGGCATGGTGTGATGGTTGGTGGTGCAGGGAGAGTGCTCTGTGCGAGGGGTCCTGCTTGGTCCCTGTGTTCCTGTCTCATGGGATGGTGCATCTCTGCCCACAGGAGGAGCGGCGAGTTGTGTTTATTGGCAAGATCCCCAGCAGAATGACTCGGTCAGAGCTGCGGCACCGCTTCTCTGTGTTTGGGGACATCGAAGAGTGTACCCTGCACTTCCGCTCCGAGGGGTAAGAGCTGCGGGGACATGGCTCCTCCTTTTTCTGTTCCTCAGGAGGATGGTGCAGACCAAGGGGGGACAAACATACTGCATTGCTGCTGATCTTCCTTCTTCTTCTTCTTCTTCTTCTTCTCCTCTGTCTCCAGGGACAACTATGGCTTTGTCACCTATCGCTATGCCGAGGAAGCCTTTGCTGCCATCGAGAGTGGGCACAAGCTGCGGCGCCCGGACGAGCAGCCCTTTGACCTGTGCTTTGGTGGCCGCCGGCAGTTCTGCAGGAGGAACTATGCCGACTTGGGTGAGTTGCACAGCCCCTGAGTTGTGGGCTGGCACCCTGGGTCTTCTCTCCTTCCTAGAAGTGTAGGGGTCCCCATCCTTGGGGTCAGTCAGGCTTGGCTGGGTGGGGCCACATCCAGGGATAGTCTTGCCCTGAGTGGAGGTTGGATGGGGCTCCCTGTCCCTCCAGCGCTGTGGTGGAGGCCAGGTCCAGTCCTTCATCTGCTGAGCTCTGGGTCTAGAGGTTGGCACGTGAAGCGAGATGGGAAGGAGTTGCTGTGGGGATGGCTGTGCCAATGTCCCTGTGGCTCAAAGTAGCCTCTCCCTGTGTCTTCCAGACTCAAATCGGGAGGATTTCGACCCAGCCCCTGTCAAGAGCAAGTTTGACTCCCTGGACTTCGACACGCTGCTGCGGCAGGCACAGCGCAGCCTGCGGAGGTAGCGGCAGGCGAGGCGTAGCGCAGCGCCCGCCCCCACTTTTATACTCAAATACAAAAGACAAAAAAAGGATGGAGAGAAATGAGGTTTTTAAGAAAAAGAAAAAGGAAAAAAACAAATTTGTTTTATAACCAGTATTTAAGGAGGACGGGTCGTTTGCCTTCGACCAGAGGGGCCCAGGCAAGTGGCAGCCCCAGGGTTGCCCCAGCCATGTAATAAATGCAGATGCCCAAACAGCAGCACTGCCTCGTCTCCTCCTTTGCGTGGGCTGTTGCATGGGCTGTTCACAGGCGTGGGTTTGGGCCATGCCACCTCAGGACCCCGGGGGCTCTGTGCTAGGGACTGGCCCCATAAAAAAAGACTGGGTGCAGGAGTGGCATGCCTGGGGAAAGTGGGGCAGGACTGGGGTCACCGAGCAGCTCTGAGGGGTCTGTGGCAGCGCCCAGATGGCCTGGCATGGGGCGAACGCCTCTTTGAGGACAGGCAGCGCAGACCCCTCTGACCGTCTCTGGGGCTCTGCTGGAGCGAGGACTCGGCACCCAGTCTCTGAGGTACCCATGTGGGTTTTGGGGCCACCTGCACCTCCCGTGGTGGCCACGGAGGGGCAGTGCAGGATCCTCCTCCAGCGCCGCTCCCATCTGCGGGCTGGGGCACAAGGGACTCGATCCCTGGCTGGAGCACAAGCCAGGGATCCGCCTGCTCTGAGGGCAGCCTGGGCAGCTGCCATGTCTGCCTGTACCCTGCGTGCCCACTTGTTGGGTTTGCTCCAGCTTGCCAGGAGAGGGATGTCTGACGTCTCATGTCTGGGTGTCCCTGAGGGATGGGTGTTGGTGACTGCAGGGAGGTTACAGGCATCTGCAGGGGGATGGTGCTTGGCAGAGGAAGGATGGACAGTGATGGAGGGCATGCAGGATGCCTGTCCAGGCCCTCCAGTGCGCTGCAGCTCACGGAGGAGAAGGGTGATCCTTGGCAGCCCCTGAAGGAGCACGTGTGGGCCTGCTGCCAGCATCTTCCCTGCACCTCACTTTGTCCCAGCAGTGCTGGGGCTCTGCACCCCACTCTTGAGCTGACAGCCAAAGTCCTGCCTTGTCTTTTTCTGGGCTGGGACAAGCCTACGGATCCACAGCACCAGAGCAGGGCTGAGCTGGCAGTGCTGGCTGGGAACCCCAAGATGGCATCGAGCACACCAGCTTCAGGACTGGGACAGACTTGGGCAGGGTGCAGTGGTGCCTGGCTGAGCCCCCATCTCAGCCCACCCTGGGGTGGGGGAGCCTGCAGCTGTCTGGCTGGGCTCTGCAGAGCTGGAGAAGCATGGAGGGAAGGGATAGGCAGGGGATGGATTGCCCAGGGCTCTTTGCAGTGCTTGGGTGGGAAGGGGCTGGTCAAAGTCTCCCCAGACTCTTTGCTTGATGGAGGCAGCACCCACTCCTCTAGTAGGAGAGCAGGGAGGGGAATAGCAGCAATAAACCCAGGGTGGGGTGTCCAGTGGGTGTGACGTGGGGCGGGGGATTCAGCCAAGCTGATGGTGCCACTTGGTTCGTGCTTGGGGCCTCTGAGGCCGTTTGGGGGTGTGTCTGGGGGGTGCTGCAGCAATCTTACGGTCTGGGATTAGCACAGTGGCTGGAGCCCGCTTGTGCCCTCTCTGCTTACCTGGATGGAGAGGGATGCTCCTGTCTGCACGCTGGATTACTCGTGCTGCTCCGTAGCTTGGCCCAGGGGAGCCTCCACAGTACCCCGGGTATGTGGGTTGCAGTGAGGCTGCCAGCAGGGTGAGACCCGGGGTGAGCTCCTACCCTGTCCTTTCCTGCCTGGCCCCGGACTTTGCACAAGGGAGGGTCCAAGGAGGCGGCTTCAGGCAAAGGTGTGAGGAGGATGTAGGGGGAGGCAGGCAGGAGGCTGTTAATCAGTAATGCAGCTCTTCCCAGCGACATCAACATCGGCTTGGCAGGAGGGGGTGAAAGCCAGGGCCTGGCAGGGACTCGGGGGAGGATGTGAGTGTCCCTTTTGGGATTCCATGTAAACCCCTTTTGCCGCAGCACACATGTAGCCCTTCTCCTGCCCAGGGCAGCTGGGCCGATTGTGGTGCTGACAGGCATCTCCCCTGTCTCTGAGCTGCCACAGCAGTGATGAGAGTGTGTGGATCCAAGCAAGAGTGTTGTGGGGAAGAGAGCCTGTTCAACCAGCTATGAAAACAACCACAGGCTGATTCAGGTCTGAGGAAGGGCTCGTGTGCCCAAGAGCTGGGCTGGTTTCTCCAACTACTTTCGGTGGTCTGAAAGTTTCTTCACAGCCTTTCCTCAAACATCTGCTGCAGCTGTGGAAGCAGGCGGGAGCTGGGAGTGTCACCGGGAAGCCAGAGCCGGGCATGGGGGACATCACCTGCCAGAACAACCCCTGGGAATGTGCTATCCCAGGGACTGAGATGTGTGCATTTGGGCAGCCGTGTGAGCACCCCAAACCCATGTGTTGCTGGCTGCAGCATAAACAAGGCTGCGTCCATGCATTCCTGGATGTGGGCTGCACATGGTCTCCTCTCCTCACTCCTGCGGGTGAGGAAAGGCAGGGGGTGTGAAAGTGTTTGTGTTGCCAAAAGAATTAACACCCTGCTGTTGTGCCCTATAAATCTTTCAAGCGTTAGAGGCTGGCTTTATTCCCCCGTGTTACAGTTTAATGGTTTCCGTTAGCAATAACCTGGCCCTGTGTTCTGGGGTTATTGATTTAAGGTCTGTTGTGGAGGGTGTGAGAGTTGCAGAAAGGTGTTTTCCTACTGCCCAGCCAGCGGCAAAGGTGCCGTTGCAAAGAGGAGGTAGGAGAGCGGGAAGCGATGCGTAGCCAGCTCTCTGGAAGTGTGGGTGCTGGCGAGAGCCCTCTGGAGAGGACTGGGGACAGAGGCAAGGAGCAGCCCTTGGAGCATGTCCCTCGCTCAGCCCTGCAGCCAGCAGGCACGGCTGCAGCCGCAGAGGTGACCAGAGCTGTTGTCATGGCAGGGCAGCACAGATGCATCCCCTGAGCTCTAACACAGGCAGGATGTGCCTGCCTTTGGCTCTTGTTGGAGTTATTGCCTGCGTGGACAGCCCCTGGCTCAATGGCAGGCAACTCTGTTTGCCTCCCCTGTGCCAGCTGGACCACCCTGCTGCACTGCAGACAGCCCAGTTTGGGAGTTTGGACCTGGAGCTCCCACGCCTTGGCTCTCCTCCACGCACACCAATAGGTAAGTCTTGCTGGTGGCCACATCGCTGACCTGGAATAATCCCTCTCGCCTTACAGGTGCCCTTTGGAAGGTGGGGGTGCAGCTCATGCACAGCCTTTGCCCTGCTGGCATCAGCAGAACCCATGGGGTTTTCCCCTGCTAGAAGCATGCTAGAGGTGAGGGGCAGAGCTGCGGCTTTGTAGGGACACCAGCTCCTGGCAGAGAGTCTCTTGGAAGCAAATCCACTTCATCCAAGGTGCACAGCACATGTAGGACAGCCAGCCTTCGTCCTACAAGTTGCAGCATCCTTCAGCATCCTTCACTGCCTGCGTGAGTGGATCTGCCTCAAGCTGCAGCAGCCCATGGCTGGGGACTACACCAGGGGTGTTTTCTGAGAGGCTGCTAAGCAGAGCTGGGGTTTTCACTCTCTCTCTTCAAGGTACTCTCAACCTTTCCCCTTCTGTTCCTGCTGCAGACTTCAGTCTCTTGTGGTTGTCCTTAACCTTTCCTGCACCAGGCCTTGTTGTCTGTGCCCTTCTGCTGGAACAAACTTCTATGGGACTGATGCTGATTTTACACCTTCCTTCTCCTTTTCCCTTCTCATTCCCTCTTTCATTAGTATGTTCTGAACGTGATCTCCAAGCTAGAAAGCAGGTAGAAGGGCATCCAGAGAAGTCTTTCATCGTGAGTAAAAGCTGGAAGATGAGGGGCCTGTGCTCCATGCATAAGCTGGTTTGGACCCCATGTGCAAAGGCAGTGGGACAGCAGGGGAATCTGACAGCAGCTCACCTTGCACACCTCTGCCCGGGGCTGGAGGCTGCACGGCCCTTGTCCCCGTTGCTTTGCAGAGCTCAACATTTCCCTGACAACAGCAGAGCCCCTTATCCTCAGGAAAGGTTATTCTGGGACGTTGGAGTTGGATGCTGCCAGGTGCTGAGCACCCACATTTCCATGAGGTGGATGTGCTTTTCCACGCTTAGGTTGTTCACACTGAAGATCCAACTTAAGATGTTCAGCGTACTCATCCTGAAAGCTGACAGGGACCCCCATGGTGAGAGGTGCCACGCATGAACCTGGATATTGGATGTGCTGTGCTGTTTGCACCATTCCCTTCCTTAGGACCACGGGTCCTTGAGATGCAGCCTGACTCTGCACAGCCAAGAGCTCAGAGGTCCTGACCAAAAGCAGGGGCTGCTGCTGTGTCATGTCTGCATCTCCCCAGCCTGGGCTCCCTGCACTGGGAGCCTCTCAGAGGTATCCAGCTTCAAGGTACCTGCAGAGAGGGCCCACGGAAGTTTGATGCTGAGATCACTGGAAACATGGGCTCAGAGGAGCCCCTGAGAGCTGGGAGAGATGCTCATTGCCCTATGGCATGCAGAGCCTGCAGGTTTGGGGCTCCTTCACTCTCACACCTCCTCCGCTTTCTTACACGTCCCTTGTCCCAAATCCCTGCCTGCCGGCAGTCAAGCCCTGGAGGCCAGCCAGCAGTTGTGTGTGCTTTAAATCTGTGCTCGTGCAGCTGAGAGCCTGGGTTAATTCCTATGTTCCCTCTTACAGCTGCTTTTCCAGTTATCGTGTGTACTTGTGCTCACATTGGGACAGTCCTCCAGCGTCATCCCATAGCGAAGTGTTCTGCAGTTGTGAGTAAAGGTGCAATGGATGTTCTGCCTCTAAACTGGACGCCTGCTCTGCTCACCCCACACACCAGGCACTGCAAATGCTTCTTGACTCTTTTTAGCAAAAAAGCTGCAGCTGTAACATGCCACAGGAAGCAAGCAGGAAGATGAAGGGACCATCAGGTCTTCAGCCTGGTGATGGCAGAGAATTTGTGAAAAAAACGCGTAGGATCTAGAAAATAGATGTGAACTTGGAGAAGTGAAAATAAAAACCCAAACTATTGCAAAACAAAAGTCCCACCCCAAAACCACACAAAAAAAGCAACCACAATTTTTCTGTCAATCCAGGAAAATTCTCTCCTGACCCTAATCTGGCAATAACATTAAGCCTAATGTGTGAGCAGACCTCTGGGACTGTAATGCTG